ACTCCTCGGAAGGAAGGTTGCGCAATCCTACTTCCGTAGTGATACTGCCTCGGAAACCCAAGGAGGGGTCGCTATGAGTCGGGGCCGACTCGACGGCATATAACAACAACAACAACATACATATTAAGAGTAGTAAAATCATTTTCTTATTAAGTCCACATTTGCCTGTGCTTAATTCCAAACCTGTCTTTTTGAAATGTCTTTTGAACCATCCTTTCCAGGAGGGAAATACTTGCCAATTTTCCATTTTCTCTAAAAGGATTACTTCCTTGAGAGAGATGTTTCTTCTATTTAGACTGCATAGTTTTTAAGAGAGGAGGAGACCCAGATTTTGAATCTGTGTCGCTGGTAGATCAAAGGCCCTAAAAACAACCTTACAGTACCAAAAAAAAAGCCCAAACTCACTGCCATTGGGTCAGATCCGACTCATAGCGACCCCTTCCTTGGGTTTCTGAGGCAGTGTCTTTATGGAAGTAGATTGCCCAATCTTCCTTCCGAGGAGCAGCTCGTGGGTTTTGAACCACGAGCCTTCTGGTTAGCAGTCAAATGTCTTAGGCACTATGCCACCAGAGCTCCAGTAGATGCTAAAAACAAAATCCTATTAAGCTGAGTACCTAAAGTGTCTCGTTAAATTAATCCCACAACATCTTAATTGCTATTAAGTAGACATCATAATTAATAAGAGAGTGACATAAATTAAGATATAAATTATGACCAAAGAGTGCTTAGTACGAGATAATCAAAAATAATCACACCCGTAGGGTGTGACTCAGCAGGAATGCAGTGCAGCTAAGGGTCTGTCAATCTCTTAACAGTAAGTACAGGATGAGGGGTCTTGATGGAAAACATTAAGCAATCTTCTGAATTTTGTTCTAGGAGAAATATGGATGCTGCTTACTCATACATTATCTCAAAACCATCCAATTTTAGAGCTAAATGTTATTTAAGAGATGATCTAATTCTAACTTCAGCATTTATCCAGTTGGCATTGATTAGATTCAGACTTATGGACACCCCATATGTGCAGAGTAGAACTGCTTCCTGGAATTTTCAAGGTTGTGACTTTTTGGAACCAGATCACCAGGCCTGTCTTCCAAGGTGCTTCTGGGGGATTTGAACAGCTAGCCTTTTGATGAGTAGCCAAGGGTGTAAGAATTTGTTTCACCCAGGGACACCTAACTTGAATTTACAGGTAAAGAAATGAAGGCTTTGGGAAGTCAAATGACTAGTTTAAGGTTCATGCCTATTATTTTGAAGTTAGGACTATCTTGATATTCTCCTGCTCTTGATCTGATACTCTTTCCATTATGCATAGAAAATGGCTTTGGCCATGAGCATTTAGGGAAAGGAAGATTCTTGGGTTAATTAAATTTAAGATATGCTATTTATCATATCTTTCCCACCATTTGAAATTCACATTACATATTAATACCTTAAAGGCTCTGATCAATCCTGGAGTTCAAACAAACAAAATATATATTTAAACACATATATATTATGTATTTATGTCAGCTGTACAAAAGAAAAAAGAAAGAAAAAAACATCTGATTTGTAGATATAACCATTTGAATTCTGTGATTTAGAAACTCTGGTTTTACCTGCTGTCTTTTGCATGCCTGGTATTTCTTTAGGAATTCAGATTTTTAGAGAATTTGGCAATCCGTACTTAAACCATCTGCTGACATATAATTGGTGGCCCACAATTGTCAGTGAGTCATATCTTAAAGACTACTTTCTTTCTTTTTTAAAAAATATATTTTATTGAAATATAATTTACGTATGTGAAATACACAAAACTAAAGTGACATGGGTCAATGCATTTTTTTTTTTTTTTTTTTTTTGCAGGGTTCCCTCCCCTCCCTTCCCACCCCGGTAACCAACAAAGAAACCTTTCCTTGACTTTTTACAATAATGAATTAATACTTTATTTGTCCTTCTGTGATTGACTTATTTCACTCAGCATAATATCCTCCAAGTTCATCCTTGTTATGCGGTGTTTTGCAGATTCTACATTACTCTTTAGTGTTGCAGAGTATTCCATTGTGTGTATGTAAATTTGATTATCCATTCTTCTGTTGATGGGCACCTAGGTTGTTTCCATCTGCAAAAAACGGCAAGGAGACCACATCTTCCGACCTCCTCTAACCCCATGAGAGGAAGACAGGATTACCAGCAGTAACCCAAGGCCTATCACTGCAAGGCCAGACATGCTGCCTCCCTCCAGCACTTTCACCAACCATTCCTCCCAAAGCACCCACCACCTCTCTCCTGGGTTCGATAATTCGCTGCAGTGGCCACACAGAGCTCACAGATGATGGGGTTTATTAGGGAAGCACCACAGGCTACAATTCAAGTTCAGGGAAAATGCTCAGTCTCTCTGCCAGCCCACCGTCCCTCAGCCAATAGTCTCTCACAGTCTCTTTCCCAGCAGTGCTGGTCCCTTGGTGTCTCACTCAGCAATGTGTGTCTCTTGTGTCTCTTTCCCAGTAGCACGTGTCTCTTTCAGGGGTGCATGTCTCTTTCAGGGGCACGTGTCTCTTTCAGCATCACGTTTTCCTCAACCAGCAGTCAGAGAGAGCGTTCTGCCTCTAGGAGGCTCCTTTTGAGCCTGGCAGGGTGGTCAAACTAGCCAGTCATAGCATCAGAACTCTAAACACGTGAGAGAGAGTGGGCACCTCCCAGAACATTGTTTTGTGCCACGCCCAACAGAAATACTCCAGGTGGACAACTTCAGCAATCAGGAGCTCCTCAGTTGCTCATAAAAAATCCCACCTTGGAGTTTACAAAGACTTATGGGTAGAAAAGCCACACTAAGTAATTTACTACACTGCACCATCTTTTTGCTGTTGTAAATAGTGCTGTGATGAACATGGGTGTGCATATATCTGTTCTTGTCCTGGCTCTCAATTCTTTAGGATATATACCCAGTAATGCAATTGCTGGATCAAATGTTGTTTCTAATTCCAACTTTTTAAGGATTCACCATACTGTTTTCCATAGTGGTTGTATCATTTGACAGTCCCACCACATCCTTGCCAGCATTCGTTATTTTCTGTCTTGTTGAATTTTGCCATTAGTGCTGGGGTGAGATAGTATCTTATTGTTGTTTTGATTTGCATCTCTCTGATGGCTAATGATTGTGAGCATTTCTTCATGTATTTGCTGGTCACCTGAATATCCTCCTTGGTGAACCTGTAAAGGTTAAAGCCCAGGAAACCCTTTGAGACAGTTATACTCTGCCCTATAGGGTCACTATGAGTAGGCATTGACCTCATGGCAAACAACAGCAACAACAAACAAACAAACAACAACATTTTATGATTGCATTACTTTGTTTTGTTTTGCTTTTAACTAATAGTGCTGTTAATGACATTTGATTGCTTCCAGTTTTGGCTATGAGAAATAATGATGGAATGAACATTCTTGGTGTTCACGTACTTCTGTTGAGTATATGCTAAATTGATGGGTCACAAGGTATCTCTTCAGCTTTAGTGGATAATGCCAAATAATTGAAGTGATTACACTTGTACCAGCAGTGTATGAGAAGTGTTACACAGCCATATCCTGGAATCTCTCTTAACTATCATCTTGTAGATTTCCTTCACCTCTATCTGCTGTTGGACTCTTTTCCTGAATCCCACATCATCATCCTTCATGGTTTAATTTTTCCTTTTGTTAGAACTAGCCTTTAGTAACTTTCTGAAAAAAGAAGGGTCCATGCAAGGTAAAAGTTTTGAGCAATGTATAGAGACCACTTTGTTGATAGGTTGATGGATATAGAATTCTAGTTTCTAATTCATTTTTCCTTGACATTTTGAAGGCAATTCTCTCTTTTCTAGTTTCTAATTTTGTGGCTGAATAGTTTTATAATGTTTTAATTCCTAGTCTTATATATGTAACCTTTTATTTTTCTTCTTTGGAAGATTTTAAAATCTTGTCTTTGTCCCCGGTGTTTCCATATGATATAGCTTGGTGTGGCTTTTCATTCTAACAACTGTTAGGCATTGGACAGTCCTTTTCAGAATAGAAAATCATGTCTTTCTCTTCTGGGATGTTTTCTTCAATTATTTCTTTGATAATTTCCTCCTTTATATTTTTCTTTTTCTGAAACTATTGTTATTTGAATTTTGGACCTCTTGGATTACTTTCCAAGGAGCTCTGGTGGTGTGGTGGATAAAATACTTGGTTGCTAACAGGAAGATCAGTGGTTCAAACCCACCTGCTGCTATATGGAAGGAAGATGGGGCAATCTACTTCCATAAAGATTTATAGCCTTGGAAACCCAATGAGTCGCTGTGAGTCAGAATTGACTTGATGGAAGTGAGGTGTTTTTTTTTGTTGTTGTTTGTTTTGTTTTTGGCATAGATTGCTTTTCTAATCTAAAATTTTCTCTAATTATCCATTTATTTTTATTTTTGTTCTACTTTCTAAGTTATTTCCTCAATTTTTATATTGCATTTCTTAGTTCTGCTCTCTATTTTTGAGTCCTACACATGCTATCTTCTTTTTTGAAAATTATGTTTTAGGCAATTATCTTTCTATTTCATAGATAAGATATACTTACTTATTTCTTTGAGATTATTAATGATAGTATTTATGTTTTCTTTTCATTTCTTTACCGACCTTATCTCCTTAGGTTTCTTTTTTTCTCATGTGTGTGGCTGTCTTTAATATTAGAGGTTTTTTGTCAAATTTCTGGTGGTCCTCGATGTGCAATTATTTTTAAGAGTAGAATAGTAGGGTGTTAATGATCTGATTAGACAGTGCTTATTAAAGAGTTTTTGTAGAAAATTCTGGAATCAGTTTTTGTTTCTTTCTTTTTAGACTTTTTGTTAATTTTTTTTTAATTTAATTTTTAACATAAAGTAAAACTGACAATTTGATACATGGTTCTGTCAATTTTAACTACCACCACAATCAATACAGAGCATTCCCATCACCTCAAAAAACTCCCTTGTGCTACACCTTTCTAGTTACATTCTTTTCTCACCTGTAACCCCTGGCAATCACTAATCTATTCTCTGTTGCTATTGTTTTATCTTTTTAATAGTTACATAAATGGAACCATATTGTATATAAACTTTTGATACTGGCTTCTTTCACTCCCAAATGACTTTGGGATTCATCCAAGTTGTATCAGCAGTTTATTCCTTTTTATTACTGAGTAGTATCCTGCTATGTGGTTGTACAAACAGGTTGTTTATCCATTCATCCATTGAAGCACATTTGGGTTATATCCAGATTGAGTGATTATGAATAGACCTGTTATCAACATTTAGAACAGGTTTTTGCATGAATGTAAGTTTTCATTTCTCTAGGATAAATATCTAGGAGTTGAATATCTGGGAGTTGAATGTGATGTAGTGTCTAAAGCATTTGACTGCTAACCAGCAGGCTGGCGGTTCAAACCCACCAGCTTCTCCTGAGAAGGAAGATTGGGCAATCTACTTCCATAGTGATACTGCCTCAGAAACCCAGGGAGGGGTTACTATGAGTCAGATCCAACTTGACAGTAGTGGGTTTTTTTTATGGTAGGAGTATATTTACTTTCATAAGAAACTACCAAACAGTTTTCTAGAGTGGTTGTACCATTTTGGATTCTCACCAATAATGTATGGAAGTTTCAGTTGCTTCTCATCCTCATCAGCACTTGCTATTGTCAGTTTTTAATTTTAACCATTCTAATAAGTGTATAAGGAACCCTGGTGGTGCAGTGGCTAAGCACTCAGCAGCTAATAGAAAGGTCAGTAGTGAGAACTCACCAGTTGTTCTGTGGGAGAAAGATGTGGTAGTCTGCTTCCTTAAAGATTTATAGCCTTTGAAACCCTGTAGGGAAGTTATATTCTGCCCTATAGGGTCACTATGATTTGGAATCTATGGGATGCGTGCAACAAGTTTTGTCGTTGCATTAATAGATGTGTACTATATCCCATAGTGGTCTTAATTTGCATTTCCTTAATGGTTAGTGATGTTAAACCTTGTTTTTTTTTCTCCATGTGCTTATTTGCCATCTCTATGTTCTCTTTGATGAAGTGTCTTTTCATGTTCTTTTTCTGATGTTTAAATTGAGTTAACTGTTTCTGTTGAGTTTTAAGTGCTATTTTTATATTATGGATATAAGCCCTTTGTCATATGTGATTTGCAAATATTTTCTCCAGTCTTTGCCTTGCCTTTTTGTTCCTTTAATTGTTTCTATTCATTCATTATTATACATTGTATTTCATGTGCCATTTCTCTTATTTTGCTTTTCTTTCTCCTTCCTTCACTCCCTCTCCCCTTCTCTATAATTCACAGAGAAGCCTGTGTATGTCAGCGGGGATAAAAACTCCCAAAAGATACGAGCTGATGGTATCAAACACAACCTTCATTAATTTTGATCTCACCAACTGTGTGGCCTTCAGGACCTGTTCAGGCTGTTGCCGAGGACAAGGTAAGTTGTTTAAATAGACAGAACAGACTCTAAATAAGGCCAATACTTGAGTGAATATGATAAATAATGACAAAGCCTTTGTGATCCATGATTTCTTTGAGTTACAAGATTTTGTGTTAGTAGAAGCTATTACTTAAATTTCCAAAAAGAGTTTTAGAGGTAGCCAGGTACTCCTTTGTGGTTCCTGCAGCTCCTCATCCTCTTCCTACTTTGGCACCTGCCACACTTTGTCATTGTGGTGCTGTATTTCTGCTGGACTCCAAGCTTCAGGAAGGCAGAAATCATGTCTCTTTAGCTCAAGGTCACATCATTAGTACCTAGCAGAAAGCCTGAGTGTAGTCAGAAGGTAGTTGATTAAAGAAATGAATAGAATTGGATAGATGGACACATGAATATAACCTAACACACATGCAACCTTTCCTGAAAAACCCAGAGTTCAGGTACTTAAAGTTTCAACAGCCCAAGGATATGCACAAAGAGAACTAACTCTCTGGATTCCTGCTCACTTGTTAGCTGCATCTCAGAGGAGGTGAGAAATACCTTAGAGGACTCATGGTGCAAGGTGAAAGGATGTAAAGAGCAATCTAGTTGATTCGATCATTGTAAACAGCCAAACCAAGTAATTCAAGTAAATATGCTCTTGTGGTTTGAATCACCAATTTAGATAATTTTTTTTTAATTAAATGATTAATGAGCAAGTCTCTACTTTTGTGTTGTTGTTGTTGTTGTTGTTATGTAGGCAGAGCCAAATATTGTTTTTATTTGAGTGGTATCTGGGTTTAAGATTGTGGACATAAAAATAGGAATAAAAAATGCCTTATGGCAAGTATTTCAGACCACAATTCCTTAGTTCTTTAATAGTCTCCCTGTATTATGTCATTATTAAGAGACTGAAAAAGATCACACTACTTATAAACACTAATCCCTTCTTACTGGATAGCCTTGGTTAAACCATCTCTTTCATAAGTTTAAAAGTTGTCTATCCCAGGCTCTGTTTAAGGAACTGTGGATAGAGAGATGGGAAACAAACAAACAAACAAACAAAAAACAAGGCTTCAGACTGATTCAGCCTGGTTCAGTGATGCCTGATGAAGTAACAAGAGAATAGACCCAAATTTTTAACATGTTGGTGAACCAGAATACTGAATGAAACAGGAAAAATTGCTGGTTGAAATCTTGCTAGAAACTTAATGTCCCTCTTAGCAAACAAGGTCAGCTTGCATGTTGCATAGAAACCAAATTTCTTGACCAGCTGAGTTGAAAACAACAGTGGCTGGCTCAGAGAAGTTGGCCAACTACACTGCTTTGAATGTGTTTCATTCTCCATAGTCCTGGCAATAATCCAGTGTCATGCATCAGGCTCCTGGAAGCCTCATTATGCCTCTGCCAAGTCCCCTATTCTAGAGCTTCCACCTGTAATTTTTCCCATTCTGGTTAGCAATTCAGATCATCCACATTTTAGAAGTTCAAGTCTGTTTTCACTTCGCTTCATCAGTCATGACTGAACTGGTTCAAGCTGATTTGAAGTGCTGCAAAAAACACATAGTTTGTGTTATCTGGCAGCTCTTAATCCAGGTACAAAAAGAAATGTCTAAACTTGTCATTGTAATACAGTGTAATGAGTACAGGATTAGTTGACAAAACAAGGTTGGTGAAAGGACTGGGGAAGTGGGTCAGGTAAGATTTTATAGAGGTGACCCTCCATCAGAATTTTGAAAAGTGAATAGAAGTTTGCCAGGAGGAGGAAGCAGGGAAATATTTCTAGGTATTAGTAAGAGAATATGCACACACACACACACACACAAATATATAGAGAGAACTTCAAATTGTTCTTGGGGAGTTGCAGAGAAGTCCAATATGACAGAAGTGTAGAACTGTGAGTGACTGTGGTATTAGGTGACATACAGAAGTTGCAAGAAGAAGAATCATGGAATTTTGGATGCTGGCTTAATTGATTGCATGAATTCTGTTGGGTTATAGAACAAAGACATTAGAGCCTCAATTTATTTGCATCTTTTGCTTTTAAATTAATAGACTTTATTTTTACAGTAATTTTAGATTTACTGAAAAACTGAGCAGAAAATACAGAGAAATCCCAAATACTGCCTCTCCCTCTGCCCACAGTCTCCTTTATTATTAACATCTTGTTTTGGTGTGGTACATTTGTTACAATTTATGAACCAGTATTTATACATTATTATTAACTCCAGTCCTTAGAAGCCCTGGTGGTGTAGTGATTAAAACAATAAGCTGCTAACCAAAAGGTTGACAGTGTGAAGCCATCAGCTAATCTGCAGGAGAAAGATGTGGCAGTGAGCCGCCATGAAGATTGACAGTCTTGGAAACCCTATACAGCAGTTCTGCCCTGTCCTATAGGATCTCTACATGCTGGGATCAACTTAATGGCAGTAGATTTCTTTTCTTCCTTTTTTTTAAGTCCACAGTTTACATTAGGGTTCACTCTGAGTTGCACAGTTCTTTGGGTGTTGACACATGTACAGTGTCATATATCCACTATTATAGTATCATACAGAATAGTTTAACTTACCTAAAAAATATCCTGTGTTGATTTCTATTCATTTCTCCCTGCCCCTCTTCTGCCCATGGAAACCACAGTAGATTTCTGTCTATTGCCTGTATAGTTTTGCCTTTTCTAGAATGTCATATATTTGAAATTATGTAATATGTATGCCTTTATTCTTTTTTTATTTTCATTAAAAAATACTTTGTAATATATTTAATATAGCACTTTGCTACTATATGTATGTCCTGTTGTTGTTGTTGTTATTTGCCATCGAGTCGGCCCCGACTCATAGTGACCCCTCCTTTGGTTTCCGAGGCAGTATCACTACGGAAGTAGCAATGCCCAACCTTCCTTCTGAGGAGTGGCTGGTGGGTTTGAACCGCCAGCCTTCTGGTTAGCAGTCAAGTGCCTTAGGCACTATGCTACCAGAGCTCCTATGTATGTCCTAGGAGATGTGTACTGTTATTTTTCTTTTAATAATAGGGGTGTATGAATCATAAGATCTCTGCTGTAGTTCTTCCTAGGCAAATGAACTAGTAGTCTCCATGAATCACTTGGTGGTAGTATGAGGGAAAGACTGCCAAGAAATATAGCCCTAGCACTAACACCTAAAAAGAACATTACCATTGTTAGTTGTCCATATGATTGATTGTCATTTTTGAGGGTATATGTATAAAGAATAAACCTCATGATAAGAGGTTTGTTGGTGGAATTAAGACATACCCTAGACATATCAGCACCTTTGTGGTTGCTGAGTGTATTGAGTCTGTTCTTACTCATTGCCACCCTATGTGATGGAGTAGAACTGCTCCACATTTTTTTTTTTTTTTTTTTGGTATAATCTTTACAGAAACAGATTACAAGGTCTTTTTCCTGAAGAGCCACTAAGTGGTTTTGAATGGGAGTACTTAACTGTTGTGCCACCAGGGCTCTTTATAGCACCTTTAACCAAAAACTAAACCCACTGCCATTGAGTTGATTGTGACTTATAGCGACCCCTGTTATGTTTCCAAGGCTGTGAATCCTTAGGGAAGTAGATTGCCTCATCTTCCTACCATGGAGCAGGTGGGTTTGAACTGCTGACCTTAGTGTTTAGTAATTGGTAAATTACTGTTCTGGTCTCTATTTCCCATTAGCTCAGAGTTTCTCACCCTCACTACTTTTGATATTTAGGTCCAGATCATTTGTTGTTGTTGTTGTAGGGCTGTCTTGTACATTATAGAATGTTTAGCAACATTCCTGGCCTCTACTCACTAAATGCCCATAGCATGCCCCTCTCCCTCCACTTCCAGTTGTGAGGCCGTATTTGTTTCTAAATAGTTTCAACTGTTTCCTGGGGGGCAAGCCCCCTCCCACTCCCCATTTGAGGATCACTGCCCCAGGCTACAGACAGCATAAAGCAGGTACAATGCTGGTCTTGTATACCTGTGTATCTCTAGCACCTACCACAGACCATGCATATAGTAAACACTCACAAGATTTTTTTCTTGAATAAATAAGTACATTTCTTTACTTCTATATAAATATGCAATTTCAAGTGTTGAGAGCACTCCAGTGGACGTGGTTGCCATTTGTGACTGAATAGTCTTTCTGTCTTCCAATTTATAGGTGGATTTTCTGTGAAGACCAAACAGTTAAAATTTGAAAATTCTCCAAACTTGGTAGCATTTCCATTTCCTCATGCAGCAATTTTGGAAGACTTGGATGGGTCTCTGTCTGGGAAAAATAGAAGTCATGTTCTTGCTGCTATGGAAACTCTCCCAGCTTCTTGTTTGGTCAATACAAGCTTTAGTCAGATGGTCCAAGGCAGTGTCTGCAGGGAAGATGTGCTCTTTCATCGTATGTCTATTGGCTTGTAAGTCAGATTAACTATAATTTTTAACTCGTCATTAAGCATGCACATATTGTTCTGTCTGTTGACGTTTGTAGAAGGGAAATTATTTTTTCAATTCTATATTTGAACTGTTTAGTTGCACAAAAGTGATAAGGAAATAATTTGACAACTGTCAAATCATGAATTTATGGTAGTTTTAGGCTGAGTCAAATAGTAGCTAACTTTCATATCATTGGTCCAGTCTCAGAGCCATGACCTCTCATTGACATTTTGAACCAATTTTCCTCTTCAGAAGACTTGCAGCCAACAGAGAATTTGAAATATATTTAAATTAAAAGTATTACTAAAAACTTCCTATAATGTCCATTCTCATGTATATATATACATGTAGGCTTCCGAAGCTCTTTGTAAGTATTCAACATGCAATTTTGAACAAAGCAATTGCTGATGCCTCCTATTACCAGCAAAGGTGCTTCACTCAAGTTCACTTTCCTTGTTAATTTCATGAACTATTGGACTCCTGCAATACGTTTCCTGTTAATATTGAGCAAGGAGTCCTTGGTTATACTACCATTAAGTCAGCAGTTGGGCTGTTTATAATGCATAATAGGATTGCTTCTGCCCTCTTTAATTTCCAGGTAATGATTGCTGAGTGTCTAGGGTTCTGTCTTTTACCTATTTCAAATTCATTGTGTATATTTAGCCACCCTTATTTTCTCTTTTGTTTTAAGTATACTGACTTCATGAATATTAAGTCAAGTAATTCCACCAGGCCACATTGGCATCTAATTTGAACAGGTGAACTCCTGAGAGTGAGAGTTGATGTGGCTTAGCTTGAACTAACTGCAACCTTGAATGCATACGGAATCAGAATCTTGACATTTTGAGTTGGAAGCCTTCGCATTATGCTGCTAGCTTTGAAGAGTCTGAAAATTTTCCATTTTTGCTTTCCAGACTGTTTATTATTCTATCTAATATTAATGGGCCCAATTCTAGTGAGTAGAATAACAATGTGCAGGGATATGTTTTTATTTCTAGTAATTTTAATTGTGGAGAACATGACTTTTTCTTTATTCTCAGGGTTGCAGCCTGATTTTTATTGGTATTCTAGTAATTTTTACCAATAATGTTTTCTATGAGTGTTTTGAGATTTATAAAAGTTTGTGATTTATGTCTTATATACTTCTTACAAATGAGCATAATAAAATAGACTCATGTAGTTCAAAGGCACATAATAGGTTTGTATGATATTTATTTCTATGTGTTCTTCTTAATACTCCTTTTTTATTCATTACTTTGTGATCTACTACTAGGCTGTCTCTTGGGAGGTACTTGATGATGTAATGTTGAAAGGTTCTGCAGAGGCAAGCCTGTCTGAATATCTGTTCTTGGAGACCTTCAGAACAGGATACCTTGGCAGCTGCTGAGTGATCCCAGCACTCAGAGACTGACAACTTCAATGAGACAATAATCCTGATGCATATTCTAAGTAGATTTAAAAGATGCCCTAGTAGAGTGACCAAAAGTTGTTGGTTTGAACCTACCCAGAGGTGCCTTGGAAGAAGGGCCTGAAAGGTCACCGCCATGAAAACCCTATGGAGTCATGGGATCACCATGAGTCAGAATCAACTTGATAGCAGCTGGCTTGGCTTCTGGTTTTAATAGAATGACCAACTTCCCAGTTTTAAAATTAAAATCTCATTTCCTGGAAATGCCCCCCTCAGGAAATCCAGGACAATTGGTCACCCTTCTCCCTAGGATTCTCTTTAAAATCTTCAGGTCAACCTACAGGTCTGTGGACCAGTGTCCAAGTGCCCACATGAGTCCTTAGCATGCTTCCAATGGTAAGTCTCTTGACTTTAGTGTTGTCACTTCTAGGAGAAGGCAATTGGATTAGTGATCCCAAAGACCTTGTTGTTCAAAGTTTGGTCCATGGATCAGCAGCAACATCTTGGGGCTTGTTAAAAATGCAGAATCTCAGGCTCCACCCCAGACCTACTGAATCAGAATGCCCAGGTGATTGATGTTAAAGTTTGAGATACACTGCTCTAAGTTTCTTCTAACTATCTTTCTAGGTTCTATCTCTAGCTATTTGTGCTCAGTGACTTGATCTTTGTCCTAAAGCATTATAACCTCATTAGGAACATGTCAGAGCTAATGAGCAATTTGAATTCAGTGTAGATACAAACTTTGCTGCATTTCATGGAAAAAGGATTCATTTGTTGTGCTATTTGCCCTTGGGCAAGCACCCTAAGAATTGGTTTACAAAGCTCTCACAGTCAGTGATCTTTTGGGCTTACATGTTAATGGAGATCTGATATGGCACAAGCACCCTACTGTCTTCACTGTTAAAGATTACCCCCTCCTTCAACCAGAGGTCCCAAAGGGGGCAGGAGAGTGAGGTCTTCTCCCTTGGTAAGCTCCTCTCTGGTCCTTTTACTGTAAGTTCTGTGTTTGACATTGGCAACTTTCTGTTATTGTCCCTCACTATCTTATTTAAGCATGACAGACACCTACATTTGTGGCACTTCCCATTTTATGGGTTTCTGTGAGGCCTTTGGTGGTTCCATGGTAGAATTCTTGCCTTCCATGTGGGGACCCTTCAGGTTCTATTCCTGACCACTGCACCTCCTGTTGCTCTTGTGCTTAACAGATTTTGGAGGAGCTTCTAGACTGAGATGGACTAGTGAGGAAAGCTTGGTGATCTACTTCTGAAACTTAGCCAATGAAAACCATAGGGATGACAATGGTCTCATCCCATTGTACCTGGTTGCCATGAATCAGGAGGCAACTCAATGGCAGCTAACAACAATGATGACTCAGTCCTAGCAACTGGAACAGTTGACAGAAGCACATACACATTTGAAGTTGGTCATGACATTTAATACTGGGTGAAGAAAAAAATGCTGCCTTCTAAAAGGCAGAGTCTATTTTTTATTAAAATGACAACACGCTTGATCTGTATGAGTACTGTTTATGTTGTTCCCTCTCACATCAGTGTTAAAAATGTGCTGGAAGTATTCTGGATTGTGTTCCTACTCCCACTTTTTTTCCTGCCAACTTCTTCCTTTCTGATAAGGCAGGAGTGATGGTAGCCCTACCAATGTAAGTCAAGACCTCAGCTCAGCTACCATTTTTCTTCAAGGCTCCTATAGTGATGATTCTTTGTTGTCTTGCATGGCTCTTTGTTTTATCAATCCCAACATTTAAGTAAATGCTTTTTTTCGTATAGAGATGATCACATGAAACAAGAATCATATTACCATGAGATTTTTATGGATTTCTTCTAAGTCTCCTTTGTAAGTTCTTCTCCTGTTAATTAAATGCTGGTGTTCCTTAAGGTTCCACAGGGAGCTTTCCTTTCTTCTCAAGCCACATACTCTTCCTGGGTAATTTACAAATAAATAAATATAAATAAATAAATAAATAATTTACCGTCATAGAGTTGATTCTGACTCATAGTGACCACCTCTGGGTTTCTGAAGCAGTAAATCTTTACAGAAGTAGATTGCCAGTCTTCCTTCCAAGGGGTGGCTGTATATTTGAACCACCAACCTTCTGATTAGCAGTCAAATGCCTTAGGCACTACACCACCAGAGCTCCTTTCCTGGGTGACAGTTTTATTTATTCATTTTCCCACAACCTCACTTAAAATTCACAGATGATTCCAGGCCTTTCTCTTCCAGTCTAGAATACAGAGCCATATATCCAATTATCCTTAGGATTGACACTGTACAGTGCAGTTGCTACTACCCACATATGACCACTGAGCACTTGAACTATATCTAGTCCAAACTGCAAAGTACTCTAAGTATAAATTATGCATGTATTTCAAGACTTACTATAAAGAAAAGAACGTAAAAATAACTCAATTTTTGTATATTGACTACACTGAGATAGTGACATTTTAGATATACTAGGTTTAATTTTACCTGTTTGTTTTTATTATTTTAATGTGGATACTATAAAATTTAAAATTAGGTATGTGGCTTACATTTGTGCCTGTATTGTATTTCTGTTGAATAGCAATGCTCTCAATATTTCCTCTAGTGTGTTTAACAGGAATCTGAAACTCAACTTATCAAAATGGAATTTCTGGTCTCTCTTCACAAACATGTTTCTCTCTGGGTGTTCAGAATTTCACTGAGGCACATCTGCCAGTTTTCCAAACCAGCATTATGCGGTTATTCTTGATTCATCTCCTTACCTTATTTCCTATGTAAATCATCTACTAAGTCTTCTAAAAACAATTCCCTCTTGAGTCTATGTCTTTTCATCTCAACTGCCCCCTATCTAGTTTAGGTTGCCATTACCTCTCACCTGGATGACCACCACAGCTGCTAGTTTGCCCCCTAGCAATTAGAACTTTATAAATGTAGGATGTGGTCATGCCAGCCATTCATTCCCTGGCTCGAAATGCTCACCAGTGCCTCCTGGAAGAAAGTCGACATCCTTAATATCTCATAGGCCCTTCTTGACCTGGTCTCTGCTTATAGTTCCAGTATCATCTCTTAGCACTCTGCCTGTCACTTCCCTGCCTGGACTGTGTGTCTCAGACGCACTCAATAACTTCATGCTTTTCAGTTCATAAGGTTCAACTTCCATGAACTTTGCACAGAGGTTATTTTCTCTGTCAAGCTTCCCTGATCTTCTTTACAGGTTTTGGTGTCCCTGCTGTGTGCTAGTTCTTTATTACTTCCTCTAACTAATACTCATAGCTCCTACATAGCTTTATAAGTTTTCCATCTTTCATTGTATATGGTAAGCAGGATGATGATAGGATTCTTTTTTAAAAAATATTATGGTGCCCAATACCATGGTGAACATATGGTCAGTTAATAAAATTAGTGTTGAATAAATGAACATAAAACAATTATGGGCTCTGTCAAATCTTCTTATAATGTTGTTATTGTCTACGTTATGACATGTTCATGAGGAGTACAGGACATTTAACTTTTCTTCGGAAGATCCAGAATTAAATAGTTTCTAAAATTCCAAGGAACATCTAATACTTAAAAATG